GTAATTGGTATAAAGAACAGACATCTGGAATTCATATTCTGAACATATTACTTTAGGAATTGTTAAACTCTGTCAGTCTCCTTATCTGTGAAAATGAAGATCCTGGCTATGTCGTTGTGTTGCTGTGAAGAAAATATATGTAAAACGAGTAACATGACTGACTATTGCATGATGACTGCTTAATAAATGGTATATACTGGTGTTAAAGTGGCTTTTAGCTCTTTCTCTCAGATGAAAATTGACTTTAGACACTTAATGGGAGATGAACATCAGCTTTGGAGATTTAGGTTGTTACAGGTGTCTAAATGTAAGTGTATTATTTATCATAAAAGTTTTTATGTTCATCAAATCAAGTTAGTATACAACAAAGTTGGCATTTGTTCGGAAATTTAAGCCTGATTCTTGCTTTCCCTAAATGAGAAAGCCCTCAAAGGCATTGAACTTGATGTATATCAAAGGAATAGAGTCACAAGTTTCAAGAGTGATCAGGTTTTAGGGAATTCACTATCCAAACTTAGAAAAAACTGTTAATAAGCTAGGATACAAGGGTATTAGTTATTTTGAGTCCAGTGTACGACAGGTTAACAGGTACTGATGATTTCCATGATGCATTTCTGCTATAACACGTGACTATTTATCTTCATGTAGTGGATTCCTGTAGGAAGGTCAGGTTTATTTTTTAGGTAAGGGCAACTCTAGCGTGGATAACATAGGCTAAGATAGAATGGATGTGATTTTCAGCAAATTAATTCTACCCCTTCTTTGTCACTGATGTCAGCTCCAGTGTATGTGAATTATGAGGTTGATAACCCTTGATCTTGCTGGGAGACAAATTCTTAAGTGCATAAATTGGAATTCTATAGCATTTGATAGTCTGTCAGAGAGATCTGAGCAAAGTGCACAATGGATAGAATAAGTAATTGCCTGGGGAACCAGGGAGCAGATCACAGGAGAAAATGACACTTACACTGGGTATTAAAGGATAGGAGGAGTGAAAGAGGGGAAGGAAGAGGAAAAACCCAGCACAACAACTATAAGGAGTTTTAAAGAACTAATGTGTTGAGAAACTGAAACTGTGTGCCTAGGACATAAGAATTATAGCATGTGGATGTGAGATGAAGACTGAAGAGGTAGATTAGGACCAGACTGTCAATGGTCTTGTGTGCCAGACTCATGGGTTAGCAATAGAGAAAAAAGACTTCCATGCTAAGAGATCTATTTTGTTTACCAGTTTGCCTCCAGACTCTGCAACTAGTAAGTTCATTTACTGAATAAATGGAAAATGGAAAGTGGTTCTGATATACAACTAGGGTTGAGAACCCCTGGTGGTTTAGGGTTTATGTTGTATAATGTGGCTAGTCTGAATTGAGATGTTCCATAATTATATATACTGAATTTCAAAGATTTAG